AAAAAAAAAACGCGAAGTCTTTTCTACCTGTTCCAAGTTGGTTAAGGAAGCAAAGTGATTGCGTCTGGTGGTCAACAAGAACAAGACGAAAAAATTCCTGTTATAATTTTGGGAAAATAGGGAATTTCGTTAACACCGATAATAATTTCAGACACACACGACCAAAATGTATTCAATTCTAATGAATGCTATGTGCGGTACAAAAAATACGTGCGGCAAATAGCAAAAACACACTCACTTAACGGACGCACCGCACACACACGCGTTATCGGATTTCAACCAAACTTCACAGAAACCTTTGCCAAAGCAACACCAACAAAGTGTGAAACTTTCATTGTGTTCCTTACACGCGTTGCTGAGATTACCATGGACAAACGCACACTTTTTTTCGGCTTAATTTTTATATATATAGATAAACATATGTACATAAATATGAATACTCGGCATACCAGAAGGACAAAAAGGAATTTTTTAATTTTTGATTTTCGCGTAGACGTGATGTTCTTTCACACAAAATAACACCGCCGCACTAATTGAAGCCCGAATACATCCGAATGACATGTTGAACTCACCCAAAATCATTATACGTAGCTCCATAAAATGTACATACCTGCATTTCCCCGAAAGTTTTGCAATTTAGAAGGAACGACATTGTATACGTAATAGCGTAATCACCACATACCTGTTGTTCCTTGACGCGGTCGGTACCTGGTGGTAATAATGGTGTACGAAATGTGTAAATCAGCGCAAGCATACGGGTAGAACAATCTAAGGTTGTAACGCCTGCCTGCCGCCTACCTGTTATACGAATCACTTCAAGTGAAGTTTCAGACTATAAAAGCCCAGAGTATTCTACAATTCACATCACTCAATTCAAGAAAACCGCAGTAACTTAATCTTAAGGAATTTCAAGAGGGCTTAAAAATGGAATTTACTTCGCAAAGTAGATTGGCAGATCGCGTCAACCCCGCTGGTGAATTTGAACATAGCGACGATAAAAAGGAAGAGGAATTCATCGATGTCGTGGGCTACTCAAGCGACGAAGCAGAGGAACCAATGGCAAAGCGATTACGTCCCACATTGTTTCGTCCATGGGAATCGAGTGATAGTTCAGCAAAGAAATTGGAAAAACCAACAACTTCGCAAATACGAGGGTTGCAGAAAACAACTTCCGAACAGAATGCACAGGCTTACAATAGGCTACGACACCAATCTGCACAACCAGCAAACTTTCACCATCCTACACCAAGGATGTGTTCGTCACATTATGCTCAAGTAAATCACTCACGACTAGCGCAGCCACCATGGATTCCACCACCACCACCACCATATAATTTACCGTTAAGCATGATGCCAGCTTTGCATTATAAGTTTAATATTCATCAATCAATGGCATATTTAACTCCACCTGTGTCACCAGTAATGCAAGTAACATCCACACAACACCTCGTAAATCCGCAAACGACTCCGCTGGCCAGTTGGGCCACACCAGTAAATGCTTTGCCACAGCTACAGCGCAGACCAAGCTGTCCAACTGCTCCGGAAAGAAACGGCCACGAAAACTATGCTCATCCCAAATTGTAGGCGTCAAATACGTCGAGGAGTTGTTGCGACTTGCCAAAACGAAAACACCGCAGGATTTTGAAGCGATTTTTCCATATCAGCCAAATAAGGGGCGAAAAAAGTCATCGAGGGATATGACGCCGGAAGAAAGGATTCGACGAGAGCGCAGTAATATGGCTGGTCGCAAGTGTCGGCGAAAGAAGTTGCTGATGAAGTTAATAGAACAGAATCGAAATGAAACGAACTCGATGGCATAATTATGGATGTGTCTGATATTGACGAGCTGGTTAGAAATTAAAATATGCGAAAGTTATCTGCAAATTTTTCCCAAGGAAATTTATTGTTATATGTGTAGGTGTAATCCAAGAAAATTTACGTAACTTCTTTTGAGTATACTTTATATATATATATGTACGCATGTAAAAATAAAAAATAAAGTTCTTAAAAACTAAAAATACTTCTAATTTTTAACCCATTCTTAATATTAACGAATTAACTTTGATACAAAAACCAGGATTTAGTGGTCTGGTTAAGCTTTTAACTTTTGATCGAATAACGTTTCCCTAATAAAAACAGAAGCTATTTTTTTCCTTCAAAATATGTAACACAAAAGAGGTAAGTTGACATAACTTTTAGTTGAAAAATTTTAATTGGATCAAATCACAAATCAGGAGCTTAGTAGCACTTCTACTTAATATATCGACGGCTGAGTGACTCGAGCAAACTCGCTTAGGCGTTCACAACGCCAATAAAAAGAATAAGAATGAAAGATCGACCTAACTCTGCAGCCGCGGCGTTCTTCAACCAAGTTCTGAAGTGTTCTTGAGCCATATAGCGAGATAGGTCGATCATTCAATCAGCTGCCGATATGGTAATAATATTTTAGACGCTTACACGTCAGCCGAGAGTTTTTGCTTAGCTAATCCTCCAATTGGTCATTTATGTCTTGAATTATAACACAAATGGAGGGACCCACACAGCTTAACACCTCCTCCGAATGGCAAATGGATTTTTTAAGTAGCTTTTTCAAGGCTGAAACACACCGCCTGCCAAGGGGTGACCGCTGTTAGAAACCACTTTATCCAATTTTCGGAATCTCTGTTTCTCTCGCTATCTCTATCTTTATATCAATCTTTGACCTTTTTTTGTATTTTTTCTTATATCAAGTTTTTTTTTTAGTTTACCTTGATCTTTGTGTTTGGATATCTTTTTATCTCCATATTTATCTTTATTCTTTTCCCCATCTACATATTCACCACTGCTTCGCTTATTTCACGTACCAATATTAAAGCTTAAATTTAGGCGGAATTTCCTTCCCCAACCAACCACCATTTCCGCCGCCTTCGCCATGTTGATTCACTACCGCTGCTAAAGAAGTTTCACTTCAAAAAATCATGGGTTCTAGTAGAACATTCATCCACTCAGAAGGCGCTAAATAAAAGAATTAAGAATATCGTAAAAAAATGTATTTACATCTTTTAACAACTTTAAAATTCAGGATTTGCCATGTCTGAAAAAAAAAA